GCCCGACCAGGGGCTGCACCTAGGGATTGGGCCTGCCCTCTGCCACCCAGGAGTGGGCCTAAGCCAGCAGGTCGTTATCTCCCGAGGGGTCCCAGACTGTGAGAGGACACAAGTGGGGCTGAGGGATACACCCCACCCCCGCCAGTGCACAGATTTTTGTGCACTGGGCCTCTAGTATTATTATATGTAAGATTAAAAAAAAAAAATGGGCAGAGGATCTGAATAGACATTCCTTCAAAGAGGACATGGAAATGATGAAGAGACACATGAAAAAATGCTCAAAGTCACTAATCATTAGAAAAATCCAAATTAAAACCACAATGAGATATCACCTCACACCTGTCAGAATGGCTATCATCAAAAATCAACAAACAAATGCTGGCAAGGATATGGAGAAAAGGGAACCCTAGTTCACTGCTGGTGGGAATGCAGACTGGTGCAGCCACTATCTAAAACAATATGGAGTTTCCTCAAAAAATTAAAACTGGAACTTCCTTTTGACCCAGAGATCCCACTTCTGGGAATATATCCTAAAAACCCCAAAACACCAATCAGAAAGAATATATGCACCCCTATGTTCAAAGCAGCATTATTGTAATAGCTAAGATTTGGAAACAGCCCATGAGTCCATCAGTAGATGAGTGGATAAAAAAAAGCTGTGGGACATTTACACTATGGAATACTGTGCAACTGTAAAAAAAGGGATCTCTTACCCTTTGGGACAGCATGGATGGACCTGGAAAATATTATGCTAAGTGAAATAAGCCAAACTGAGAAAGACAAGTATCACATGATCTTACTTATTTGTGAAATCTAATGAACAAAATAAGACCTGAAGCAGGGAGGCATTGAACAGACTGGCATACCTCAATGTGGGGTTGGGAGGACAATAAGAAATTCGTGCATGGTGGGAGCAGGAGGGGGGGTTCCCTCAGCTCAGCTGTGCCCTCTCACAATCCGGGACCCCTCGGGGGATGTCCAACTGCCGGGCCTAAACTGGCAGTCGGACATCACTCTCGCAATCCAGGACCCCTTGCTCCTAACTGCCTGCCTGCTCGCTCCTTACCACCCGCCTGCTTGTTCCTTACTGCTTGGCTCACCACTCCTTAGCGCTGCCACAGAGGTGGGAGAAGTTCCCGCCACCATAGGTGCACTCGCCAGCGTGAACCCCGCTTCTGGCTGAGCGGCGCTCCCACAGTGTGGGAGCACACTGTCCACCAGGGGCAGTTCCTGCTTTGAGCATCTGCCCCCTGGTGGTCAGTGAGCGTCATAGTGACCAGTCCTTCTGCCTTAACGGTCGCTGGGCTTTTATATAGATAGATATCATAGCCTATGGACACGGACAATAGGGTAGTGAAGACCTAGGAGGCTGGGTAAGGGCTGGGAGGAAAGGGGAAGGGGGAAATAGGAGATATCTGTAATATTATCAACAGTGAAAGGGTTTTTTTTGTTTTAAATATATTTTATTGATTTTTTACAGAGAGGAAGGGAGAGAGATAGTTAGAAACATTGATGAGAGAAACATCGATCAGCTGCCTCCTGCACATCTCCTACTGGGGATATGCCCGCAACCCAGGTACATGCCCTTGACCGGAATCAAACCTGGGACCTTTCAGTCCGCAGGCCGACGCTCTATCCACTGAGCCAAACCGGCTTCGGTGAAAGATATTTTTTAAAAATTTTTTTAATTAAAAAAAAGAAAAGTTTAAGTGAAAACCCTGTTGTCCTGGATTTGAATTAGAAATATCGATATGAACTCATAAATTAGTCTTACTTTCTTAGCTTTATCCAATGATAGAGCCTAGAAACCATGACCAGCCCAGAAGCAAATGGCACACCTATTAGCCAGAATATAGTTTCAAACTACCACTCTCCACTAAAAGAACCAGGAATTCTTAGATAAATGGCCAATTCAAGATCTGGGACTACATAATTATAAAATAGATTGAAATATATCTTAATATCTTTTAATATTTTTAATATACTTTAGGAAGTTCTCAAAGACAACTGAGTTTATGACCAGAGGACTCAAGAGCCAAATTTTAGAGGCTCCTGCTAGCCATTGATGGGACATCGGTGAGCATCAGGAAAAAGAATAACTACCATAGATTGAATGAAACACATCACATATGTTAAATTCATCCATTTATAAATTATAATAATAATAAACTAATAGGTAACCATTAGAGAATGTTAGAGGAACCAACTCATTGTTCTGAAAACTGATAGATAAAAGAAAAGAGTCAAGCATTTACTAACAAACAAGCTGTACCACTGGGTAACGGGAGAGTAATGGCTAGGGCACGGTTGGGGAAGGGGAGGAGTCTTTAGCAAAGACTACAGCTAATATAAGAAGAGATAATAGAATATAATCAGCATTTTTCAACCCTGAATGAATTAGAAGATCTGGGCTTTGATCATCAGTGGCTGCTGACATCCCCAAAAGACAGGCAATTATATACATCCTGAGAAGTAGTCTCACCAAAAAAATCAAACCTTTCACCCATTAAGGCCTCTTCTAGATCCAACTTCCATTTTACAGGAAATACAGAAGCCAGAGGAGCATGTTAAACTGTCCCATGAGGATGCAGTCAGCAAAATCCTGACTCTGCCAAATGACTCAGTGCAAGGGGAGAAAGCGCAGAAGAGGGGAACTTATTGAATAAAAGGGATAAAAGGCGTATCAGTCAACTGCAGTGTGCAGATCTGATATGGATTCTGATTTTTTAAAAAATATTAAAATTTTATGAAATTCACAAGATAAGTGAAAATAGGAACATTGACTATCTACAGGGGTGGGCAAAAATCAGTTTACAGTTGTGAGTATGCAAAAGTTTATTCTTGTAGTATGATTTATTAACTAGAGGCCTGATGCATGAAAATAAGCTTGGCCCCCACCGTGGCAGCGACGGCTGCCTCTGCCTCGCGCGCCGCCGCTGCGGCTTCGTCCGGCAGGTTGTCCGAAAGGACGTCCAGAAGGATGTTCAGTCTAATTAGCATATTATGCTTTTATTATTATAGATTATTGTATTATTTTCCATACAAACAACTGTAAACCTACTTTTTCCCACCCCTGTATTTAAAAACTACGGAATTGCCCTGGCTTATGTTACTCAGTGGTTAGGCCTGAACCAAAGGGTGGCAGGTTTGATTCCCAGCCCTGGTCAGAGCGCATATGGGAGGCAACCAATGTATGTGTCTCTCTCGCATCAATGTTTCTCTCTCTCTCTCTCTCTCTCTCTCTCTCTCTCTCTCTCTCTCTCTCTCCTGCCTCTCTCCCTCCCACCCTCTTTATAAAACATCAATGGAAAAAATATCCCCAGATGAGGATTAACAAAAAAATAAAAACAATAGGAACTATGTATTATTAATTTCTAGGTGTGATAATGGTATTGTGGTAATTTTTGGTTGTTGTTGTTAATCCTCACCTGAGGATATTTTTTTTCCATTGATTTTTTTTTTCTTTTAGAGAGAGTAGAAGGGATCAACTCTGCAACCTAGGTATGTGCCCTTGACCAGAATCAAACTCACCACACTTTGGTGCATAGGCCAACACTCTAATCATTAAGAAACAATGACCAGGGTGGTATTGTGGTAATTTTTACGGAGTCCTTATGTTTTAGAGCTACAAACTGAAATATTACAGAAGACATGATATGATGTCTACATTTGCTTCATAATCCGAGGAGTGGACATGGGTGGGTGTAGCTGGGACATGACTTGAATGATTTGATGGGTGTTGAAACTGGCTGACAGATGCGTAAGAGTTTGTTTGAATATTGTCTCCTTTTGGAGATGTTTGAAATTATCCATTAGTTGTCCTCTGCAGTGCACCGAGCTAATAGACGGCCAAGAAATCCAACCTTCTCTCTTTGTGCCCATGCAGTGCTCCAAGAGCTGCCAGGGGGGCTTCCGGGTCCGGGAAGTACGCTGTCTGTCAGATGACATGGCCCTAAGTAATCTCTGTGATCCTCAGTGGAAACCAGAAGAGAAAGAATCCTGTAACCCTCAGGACTGTGTCCCTGAAGTTGGTAAGTAGGGATCCTGCAGTGAAGATTCATCTTTGTTAAGCTCTGTCAAGTTCTCCGGTGTGAAATGCCACATCCATCTGGAGTTCAGGGGTCAAAGTACTTTTGGTATGTTAAGTTTATAAGCCTGGATGGTGAGCCAAGCCACCCACCAAAAAATAAACTTAAATGTGAATGGATTAAAATGGTAATGCATTCAGAGACTTGGTTCCATCATCCTTAGGGTCAGAGTAGTGAGATTTTAATGTCATGTTTAAAGAAAAAGAAAAAGCCCTACCTGGTTTGGCTCAGTGGATAGAGTGTCAGCCTGTAGCCTGAAGGGTCCTAGGTTCAATTCCAGTCAAGGGCACATACCTAGTTGCAGGCTCCTCCCCAGCCTGGACCTGGTCAGGGCACATGCAGGAGGCAATCAATGTGTTTCTCTCACATCGATATTTCTCTCTGTCTTTCCCACTCTCTCTTCCACTCTCACAAAAATCAATGGAAAAATATTCTCAGTTGAGAATTTTTAAGTAATAATCTACATACTAGTATATAAAAGGCTAATATGCAAAGTGTCCCCTTGGGAGTTTGACTGGGAGACCGGGAGTTCTATCACTCGCTATGATGTGCGCTGACCACCAGGGGACTGCACGGAACATGGCGGGCGGGTGGCAGCAGGGCGCTGAGGGAGCGAGGGAAGGAGGAGGCGGGGAGGCGGGGAGGCAGGGAGGCAGAGAGATGGGGAGGCGGGGAATCTGATTGGCCCTGATTGCTGGCCAGGCCTAGAGACTCTACCTGTGCACAAATTTCCTGCACTGGGCCTCTAGTAGTAATAATAAAGAAAAAGAAAAATGCAAGCTCTTAGTACACACCCACACTCCATCAGCAATAGGCAGCAGTACCAGGATGGAGAGCCCTCACCTCACTTTCTCTCCCCAGTAGTCCAGGCTGCCCCTCATGCTCAGAGCATCTTGTTCTCTTCTGCTACAGATGAAAGCTGCAAGGACAGATACTACAACTGCAACGTGGTGGTGCAGGCCCGCCTCTGCGTCTACAACTACTACAAGACTGCCTGCTGCGCCTCATGCACTCGCGTGGCCAACAGGCACGCGGGCTTCCTGGGGAGCAGATAACACCCCCGCACCTACCCAAAGAGCAGAGCAGCAAGTCTGTAAGAGGGTGACTGGCAGGCTGCTGATCCACCAGGGTCTCCCTGGCCCAGGGCGCTGCCAGCCAATTTGGTCACCAGCCCCGCCTTCAGTAAAGTGTCCACGCGGTGCCCAGGCGCAGAGCCACAGCTCTGAGCATCGCCATCAACTGAAGTTCCCTCCTTGGGAAACCTGGAAACCTCTAACAGTGCTCTCTGAAAACCAGTCAGGGGGGCGTTCAGGCAGTTCTCAGCCAACCCCTCCTGGCACTTTCTAAGGCAGCAATTTAGCCCTGACTGGGCACTGCCTCCCCCAGGGGGCTCTTGGCCTTTCCAATATCAGCACCTCCTGGAGAGTCAGAGGAGGCAGCACCTGTACCCAGGGCCCCACGAAGCCTTGCTGAGATGCCGGCATCCCTGTTACCTCAGCCCCGCTGTGCCTGTCCTCTTTCTCAAAGACATTAAGTTGTTTGCCTGCCTCATGACACAAACATCTCATGTCATGCAGTGCTTTATTGTTTCACAGGTATATTCACAGATATTAATTCCTTAGCAGCTTATAACACCCCAGAAGGGAGGCAGGGAATGAATCATTGTCCCATTTTACTAGCAAGGAAATTGAGACTCATTGACCTCCCAGCCATATTCACCTGTTCAGTCCCAACCCCAATCATCTGACCACAAAACCCTGACCCCAAGGCCTGTCCAGAAGTCTTAGGTCTGCAGGATGCGGCTTCATTTCAGACCAAGAGTGAGAATTTCCTAATTAGCAAATGAAACCCAGGTCTTTGAATTCTTCCCTCCAACCAAAGGTCAAAACTTTATCCCAGCATCAGTTGTTTCAGAAGTCTGTTTCCACCAATCCCTTCCCCCACAGTAACAGGCCCTCATCACAGGACTCTGCAGCTCTCATTAAGTCCCGTCCTGAAAGAAACTCTCCCCTGAGACCATAAAGGCGCTGGGTATCACAGTCATTGCCTGAAATTCTGACTTCCTTCCCCAGTGAGATGTTTTCCCTGGAACCGGAAGTCAGGGTCCCTTTGGCCACAACAGTCCCTTTCTGGTCCCAGAGCAGGTTTCCAGAACTGTGTGCTCAGCCCCTCCTCAGCCACCCTGCTGGGCTGTTCTCCACACGTGCCTGGTGGAAAGTGTAACCAACCCACACCAGCAAAAACCTTGTTTCTATTAGAAAGTGTCTCCCTTTGGTCTTTTTGATTTGATTTATGGATTTCTCTCTATTACTTCAAATCCTTCCTTTCTCACCCAGGACTGACAACCCATGTCCCCGCCCCCCTCCCAGACAGGAGCACTAACACCTACATTAATGGAGCCAGTCTGGGAGGAGGGGCTGTGAGCTCCAGTGACAGCTGCATCAGAGGGCTCTTCCCTGACTCACCTCACCTAACTCTGTAGCTCCAGAGCCTGCGGGGGTCAGTAGGGGGGTCAACAGTGCCTATTGAGAGAGGAACTCTTTGAAAAATCCATTAAGAAGAAAATATATGTACATATTTTTTCTTTTACCCATTAAGAAAAGTACCAGGCTAAACGAATTGTAAGCTCTTAGTACTGTGGTCCTGGGCCCATTTCCCTTTTAAAGCAAGCCTTAGCAATTGAGTTTCTCCCAGTAGCCCTTTAAACCAGAAATCTGCTAATTAGATGATCACTTGCAGTTTTTGGAAGCAGTATCACCAGTTAGTCTGACACACTCTGTGTTTCCAGGGATTCTCTTTGGCTTTCCTGTGGGTGTCCTCTTGCTGGGGAGCTCCAGCACCACTCCCCAGAAGCACCCCCTCTCTCCTGGCTCTTATGGGACTCCTGCAGAGAAGCAGGCAGGAAGAGGCCCCGCTGCTCCGGCCTCCAAGTGTGTCAGTGATTTCATCCCGTGTACCCCCTTCCTTTCACTAGAAGTTTTTTGCTTCTAATCACAAGGGGAGTTTGTCCTTGACGCAGCAGCCTGCTGAACAAGCCAGCCATCTGCTGGAGTCCTTGCAAGAGGCTGTCTTTACACGTGGGAGGGCAGGGTGGGTCAGTGGGTGGGAGAGCAGGAAGGCTGATTTCACCTCAAATTAAGGGAAAACCTTGTAGCCATACCAGCTGCCCAACAGAGGTGTGGCCACCATTTGTGAGCGCGCTCTCCATCCTAAGTGGGACTTCTCTGTCGCGGGGAGGTGAACATCCCGGTTCCCTCCACCTCGGGATGCTCATGATGCGCTGGTCAGTGGTGGCTTTGTCTCTGACATCTGACAACTTCCGTGGCTCCCAGATGCTACCTAACAGTTCTTTAAAAGCACAGCGATCCTTCCGTGATGACCGCGTGATGACGGCCGTTGTGGAACTGGGTTGGGGGGGGGGGGGTGGATCTCATGACTTCGGGGGAGGGGCAGAAGCACCTAAACTCGGGGGCTTTATTCTCTTCCTACAAATAGCTGAGCTATTCTTGGAATTCATTTATCTCTGGAAAGTTTATAAATTACTAGAATGGGGGTTTTATTTGTTTATTTGTCTTAGAAATCCAATTTTTACTAATTTCCTAGCTTCTCGTGTCAGCATCCAAATGCCTTTGTCCTTAGCACAGCACATCAGATAAAGTCCTTTGATATTTCCAGTGGCGATGACGACGGCGTGCCTGTGTAGGGAGTCTAAGGAAAGCTCCCCTTTTGGTGGCTCCCTCCCTCCAGATGTGTCTCCTCTCCCTTTCCTAGACCCTATGAGTTTGCTTTCTCCTCTGCATTACTTGCCACCCCCTTCTCAGTCCTCTCCATGTTCTATTAACTGGCCACAATGCAAAACTGAAATTTACATTTGATGGTGCTTTTTTTTTCCCTGTGTACTGGATTGCCTCATTCTCTGCCCTGAATTTTAAAATTAGGTGAATTTAAGCTGTTACCTGTTTTTCTCACAAATATCAACAGAGCTCTAAACAGAAATAGTTTCTCTGCCCTCAGGGACCTGCAGTGTGACAGGAGCTCTCTGAGCTGTTCCTAACTGTGCCTTTGCCTTCTCTGGCCCAGGGTTCTTTTTGAGTTTTCCTTTTTCATTTCCTTGAATATGTATCATTTAGGTATCCTCAGAGTGTTCAATATTCAGCACTCTTTTTCCTTTAAAACAAATGGCTTTATAGACGGATGAAAAAATGGGAAGCAAGCTTAATTTATTTCCATGCAATTGTGTGGCAGAGAGAGAAATCCAGATATTATTAATATTACTAGTACCATGCTAAGCCAATGTCTTTTTTAAAAAATATGGCCATTTTAGAATTTAAATATCAGTTCTTTAATGTGGAAGAAGACACAAATATAAGTGGTAAAAAGAAATAGGACTTACCTTAAAACAGGCTTCATATTCAAACCTAAAGGAACCTGTGCCAGCATGGCAGGTGGGGGCCAACATTTGATCCGTGCTGTGTAAAACATTGTCAATGTGGCTGGAGGGGAGAATAGTGCCTTGCTGGTGAAATTCGTAGATGGCATTGGCATTGGAGAGCTAATAGCGTGGGTGGCAGGTTCTGGACCCAAATGATCTGGGAGACTATTGACCAGGAAGCAACATATAGTCCTACCTTTGGGTTAAAAAAAAAAAAAATACTATACAAGTACAAGATGCGGAAAATATAAGAGTTTTGGTTGACTAAGCTCAGTGTGAGTCAGGAAAGTGGGATGGAACCACAACAAAATTAAACACAAAACACTTGGGCTACATAAGGAGAAGACGCTGGTGAGCGTGTGCCCTGTTGTGGGGAGTGTCACCTGTGTGTAACATTAGGCTGAGCGTGCCCAGTCCTGATGAGCGGTGCAGGCTGGTCAAAACAGAGAAAAAGACTTTATGAGAATGTTTAGCCTGGAGCCCTTGGGAAAGCTATCCAGGAACAGGAGATAAATCTACAGGGAGGCAGATTTCAACTCTGGCAGAAGAGCCGGCTTTCTGCAAGTTAGAGCCTTCAGGAGGTAGAGCCTCCCTGGCCGGTGGTGGCTGAGCTGTCGCTGGCGGTCTCCGTAGAGGCTGAATGGCCCTTTGTCGGGGATGCTGGAGAGGGGATTCACGCACGCAGCTGGGGCAATATGACTTAAGGTCCTTACCAAGTCTGGGTTTGGGTGACTATAAGTAGAACAGTTTTAAATGATTCTTCTGGTCTGGAATGGCCAGTGCAGGCACGCCTAGTTCCCATTCCTGTGTCTGCCATTTGGACCTTGTGTCGCACCCCTCCAAGCTCAATGCAGCCACTAGGAAACTGGTCAGAGCTGCCCTGACTGGTCCTGCTTTGTAGACCTGTAACCAAATGTCCTGATGGTCAGTTCCATGCCCAGGGTCACATGCCTTGATGGTGGCAGAGCCTCTCCTAGACTAGGACCCTCTAGTGCCATCTCTGTTTCTCAGTTCACCTTCCTTTCCTGCACCTTTGCGGGAGCAAAGTAACCCTCTCCACCCCGAACAGTCCCGCCTGCGGGTTACAGTGGGAGCCGTCCTCTGTGCTGAGGACCGTGACCATGAGAGGCTGGGAACTTCCAACAACTTCCTCACCATCTTCCAGACTGAGCCCTTCGCCTCAGTGAGAGGAAAGCCATCCTGTTACATAACTAGCCACACCTGCCTTGACCCCCACGCCCCCACCATTCAGTTTGACAGAAGGATATACTTTGTTATAACTTATTATTTGTTCTTTGTAAATACAAGATGTTTATAGGAAATGTGTATTCTGAACTCTATTGACAGAATGAGTCACTACACCAAAATAGTTCTCTTATTTAGAATAAGTTAATTTTAAAGGGACCTAATAGGTATTTATTTACATATGCAATCCACGTTTGTGTAAAATCATTTGATCCTACTAACCCAGCTTCCTGGAAAGTTTGCTACACAACGTCTTACCCTAAGTCCATAGTTACGATTTGTATACTGATTAGTCAAATTCCTTGGGTTTTAAGATGGAATATAAATTACTTGGCTTTTCGACTTGCTCAGGGCTTTTTCCCCCTGGCATTGTGTCCGTCTAGATTGCCACCTTTTCATCTTAAATATTTTTTTTTGCTCATATAATATGCCCTCTCTTCATGCCCAAACACTTGGAAAGGGAAATATGAGGGTCTTTCCCTGTCTCCTCTGTCTTGCCTCCTCCATGAGAGTCACCAGCAGTGAGTTGTGGGAGCTGGTTAGAGCCCTGGGTGAAGCAGAGTCTCCCTCCCTGCAGGGCCCTGGGGGCATGAAGATGCATTTACTGGCTGCCCTGTGTCCGGGGCCCCCTGGGCACTGCTGAGTGGGGCCTCTGGGCTTTCCTATCAATAACTGCATAGTCAGGAGCAAGGAGCCCCCTAGGTACTCCACTGACTGTGTCACCTTGTGATGTTAAATTATTGTTTAAAGAGGTGGAATGTGAAGGTGAATTATATGAGTAAGTTCAGTCTGTTTTCTCTTCAGCCAAAAGGACAACTATTTTTGTGTATGACTAATTTATTTTTATTATTGTAAAAATACAATAAACTGGTTAAGAGATCAGCTTTGTTAACACATTTGTGCTCACATTGCTTCAGACAGTCCCCTCTACAGAGAAGAACCGGGCCCTTCAGAGGCGGTTGGCTTGTCAGACTGTGTTCCGGGCGCCCTGGGGGCGGCGGGGCCACTTGGAGGACAGGGTCCACCTTAGACACAGAGGCTGTGAGCCTGTGGTCTGTGCAAGTCCTCAGCTTGGCTGTGAGAGAATCACCGGGGAGCTTACGATAACATATTCAGGAAAGTGGCCACCCCCAGGTGGCCCTTTTCTGGTCTCTTTTTAAACGTCCCTCAGGCAGGAGAAAAGGTGGGGCCCACTGTGCCATTCAGTGTGGCTCCATCCAGCTCCCAACTTGACTAAAACTTCTTCCAACTTCCCTCGGCTGACTTCGCCTTGGCTGCAATTTAGCAAAGTGTTTGACAAGATCTTTCAGGTCATCGTGGTGTGTAATAAGGTGACTATGATTTAGGTCATGACACCTCTGGAAAGTCACGCTGGCCGAGATCGCTAGTGGGGTGCCTATAAGCTCTGTCCCGACTCCATCCTGCACAGCATTTCATCAGTCACTCTCAGAAACTGATTATTATGCCTGAAATGTGCTTTCCAGCCCTCCCACCCACCTTTTCCTGCCTGGAAAAACCTTCATTTACTCTGTTTTTAATTGTGGCAAAATTCATGTAACCTAAATTCTTTTACTCGTCTTAAGTGTACAATTCAGTGGTGTTTAATGCATTCAGTGACATGCAACCTGCTGCACAACAGTTTCATTATCTCCGAATTCCGTCTATTCTGCAATCCCCAACCCGTGCTGAGCACTCTCACACACTCTGTCTTGTTGACTCTTCACAGCAGACCCAAAGCTAGAATGTTACCGCCTTTGATAAATGAGAACTCAGAGCGGTTTGGTGCAGCTGCCACTTGGTGGCACCAAAGTTCCACAGTCAGCTTCCCCAGAGGCGGCCTGTCTCCCCAGCGCCAGCTCCCCAGGGCCTGGCATGCTCATGGTCCAAGCCCGTGCTAGTTCCGGTCTCTCTCTCCACACCAATTCCAATCATTGGAAAGCGGCTGCATGGGCACTGGATGGGTGCTTAGCTGTTGATGACATGTCTGGTATGGTTTAGTGTTACCAAGCTTGTTGGTATGACCGACCTGGTCCTAGGCTGCATTTGAAGATATGCAATCACCACCCAGAGGGAGGAAATGCGCCCTTCTCTGTTCTTGAGACCAGACCCAGATGGATCGCTTGGGCTCCAGTTCAAGGGACCACACGCCATACACGTTGATTGAACTCCAGGAAAGAACCCAGAGATGGTGGCCAGGATGGTGATTGGAATGGGGGGTGTCTAGAGGGGAAACTGTCTTCAACCATCTTCAGAAATCTCCAGAACTATCAGGATAGAAGACAAGAACCTGGAAACGACAGCAGATCTGCAAAGAAAAGGGGCAGGGAATTAGACTTGGCTCAGAGAAGAGTTCCTGTAATAGAAGCTTCACAGTGGGAAAGGCATTTTGAGAGACTGTAAGACCCTCAAAAAAAACATTTGGGCAGAGAGAAAATTTGAATATGGACTGTAGTTAGGATGACACAGTGGAATCATGTAAAACTTCTTGGATGTGGTGGCTGGTGTCTAGTTGAGCAGGAGTGTGCGCTGCTGCAGTCTTGAGGGTCAGAGAGGCCCTGATGTCTGCAAATCACTCTCCTGGCGGCTGGCACCGTCGCCGTGTGAGTGCCCCTCTGTGGGTAGACCGGGTACATGCAAATAAGGTGAGCACACTGGTGGATACGAACAAAGGGCCTGTGTGTTCATTACACTACTCTTTACTTTTCCAAGGTTGGACATTTTCCAAAATAAAAATTGGGAGGATAAATT